CCCCAAAACCCCAAAACCCCAAAACCCCAAAACCCCGAGGTGAGTTATAATATTTAAAGTTCCAAATGGAGCCATTGAATCAGCCGGATCCCCTACAGGAAGAAGTGGAGGCACCAGGTACGTTACGAGGTCATTAGGTGGCCGGCTGGCTCAGCTTTTTGGTTTGTACATGGTAACTAGAGTGAGACGTGGTGGAAATGAAGAGATTTGACTGTGGGTATCTGTATATTTGCCCACAGCCGTTGCTAGATTCTTTTACAAGTTCCATTGAGAGAACACTGTAAAATCCCTGATCGATTGTTTTAAACTCCTCTGTTACTGCTGGTTCAGAACTTTCGGCATTAGCTGAATTGTTACCATTGTAAATCTCTCAATCAATAATTTTAAGTTGCTTCTTTCCTAATCCCCAAACACCATATCCATAACCGCTTTTCTCCAATATAGATATAGTGAGTGAAAAGATGATAGAGTGCCAAAAGTAAGTTTACTTGAGAACAGAGAATGTAACTTTCTAAAGTCAAGACTCAGTAGAAAGAGCACTTTCTGTTTGGAGTAGTTCCCCAGAAATTATAATATTTTATCTTCTTGAGTAATCCATAATTTTGTGTTCACTCTAATTTTCATCGCTATATCTTAAAATCATAAGGTTTCATGTAAGTGAAAAATCATATGATTGAGCTTAACTTCTGTTAACCTGCCAATATGCTATCATTAGCTCATTTCTTAGGTCTTTGAATGCTATAAAACAACTATATCTAGGATAGAAGAGCATATTCAAGAAAAATCAAATAAGTTTGGCACTCAGATCTATATTAATCTCTATTTAAACATCGAGAAGCTCAACCGTAAAGTTCAACCAAGTTGGAATCTTCTCTTCATTGTTAACAAATCCAAGTATTTTAACTGGAATTCACCAATTTAGAGATTGACAACTACTAAAACAACTCTCTCGCTTTGTGATGCCTCCAGAATCAAAAGCTTCATTCTATAATAAATCTTTGGCAGGTTGTCGTATGAAAGAGTTTCTATCCAAATCCATTCCAACCAGGATCCAACAGATTAATGTCAGCATGAATAATTATGAAAAATCTCCTCGATTCTTCAATTTGATTCTTCGTGCCAGTATGCTCACAACAGCAAGTATTAAATTGATTTGTTTTAAAAAGTAAGCTCAATTAAACATTGGTAGCCTCAAAATAAAGCAACTCAAGAGGGTGTTTTCAGCCGCTAAGCATACAAAATCTCTAGGAATTTCTTTTTCCACACTTTGCCTCCCAGCTTGCCTAGACTTTTCAGATTGATTCAGAGGCACAACTCTGTCCCAACTTAAATTGCATTATATAAAGGTGAAAAACAGAGATAAGACAGACAGAAACTTACATGAGCTGGATGGACTCATTTCAGGCTTATCTAAATCATCAGATCTTCATAAGAGCATCCAAAGCATTGATATTTTAGCATACAATACCTTCGGAAAGGAAGACAATGAACTTCTGACTAAGTATGGATTCCCTGTTGAATAATATACCTTCAATCCCCTGGTCTTCTGGTTTCTCATTCTATTACGTACAAGCTCCTTTAAATGGTAAAGGTTCAGCTAAAAGTTGTACCTTATTTGGCTCAGAACCATAACAACCTTGCTTTCTTCTTCAGTCATGTTCTGAGTTCTTAGAGCAGCCTGGGCTATGGCTCATTCTCAAGCACTTATTTGTGCTCTTAGAACAAACTAGCAAGATTTGATTATTAATTGGCTGAAGAACAGCCATTTGTATCCTACAGAGTGGTCATTGAGCTGGCTTCCGAGGATGAAAAGTGGAACATCACTGGCCTGGAAACTCATAATTCCACATCTTTTATCATAAATAATTGATTAGATTCCTCTAAATTTGAGAGAGACCCAGGGGTTTTGGGGTTTTGGGGTTTTGGGGTTTTGGGG